AATCGATGGAAGTATGAATTTCAGCTTCTTTAACATCATTTAGAAATTTTAAGAAAGGTGAATCTCAATAAGTTACTCCTATCTGGTTGACCAAAGGGGTAATTTATCTCAAAAGAAACGGAATTGGAGAGGCTTAGAGCCAAACAAATTACAAAAGGCATTGTATTGTAATAATACCGCTATTAAATGGTATAATTAGCCGTTTCTTTCACACAAATTGTATTCCCTCCCTCTCTAACGGTCACCTTTTTCAAGATTATATTCAAAACCCTCTTCTCATTTCCACCCCAAAACACAGATTTTGCTCTGTCTCTCTCATTTTCTTCATTCTTGATCCTCATGGAAGACAAGCAGGAAGCTCAATCCATTTTAGAGAGTAAAGAAGAGAAGAAAATTCCAGTGTTTACAGTGCTAAAGAATGGTGCCATTCTCAAGAACATTTTCCTCCTTGACAACCCCCCTTCATCTTCATCTTCTTCTTCAAATCAAGAAACAGCAGAATTTGAAGAGATTTTGGTGGTTGGTAGACACCCAAATTGCAACATTACGTTGGAACATCCAAGCATCAGCAGATTTCACCTCCGTATTCACTCTAAACCCTCCTCTCTCTCCCTCTCTGTTACTGATCTCTCTTCAGGTATTCTGCCTTTAAACTTCTTCTCTAAAGTTTGCCTCCTTTTTTTATAGATTATTTATGGGTTTTTCCAGTTTTCTATCGCTATCTTTAATTGGGTATTTGTGTTTGCTTTCATCTTTTGGAGGATGTCTGTATTCAATCATCATATATGGTTCTTGAAACATCATTTTATAGTTTGCTATTTAAAAATGATCTTCTTGATTTTTTATGGTGATTTGAGTTATTTTCTTGAATTTTATCCTACTCTTGTTTGCAGTAGATTCATTCTAATCCTCATATATGGCTCTTGAAGAAGGTCTAAATTCTTGATATCTTGAGGGTTTCTATAGTTTCTTCTTTTTGCATTTGATGGCAACTTTGGCTTTATCAATGTGTCATCTTTCAATAATTTTGTTATTGTTGCATTTTTCTTGATGATCACAAAATTTGTGAATTATATGAAGATTTTTCGAAATCTCTACCCATATCTTGATTGTTACAGAATTTTAGTTGTTGAATGGGGTTTTATGAGTCTGTAGTATTACAGACTCTTTGTACAGTTTATTGAGTAGGTTAAATGATGCCGCTTACGATGTATCTGTTTTTGTTTCCTGTAGATACTCTGTAATGATGCATGTCTTTGGAGTTCTGTAATAGCATGTGAACTTTAAACTCTTGAAATCTTGTTGGCTATTATCTTTTTTCTTTTTTATTTTGGGAGGGGCCGCGCGAACATAAATTATGACGTAGGCTCGGCCACTTGGGCCGACCTTAGGCTGGCACCCCTCCAACCATTTTTCCCAATTGATTAAGATTTAAGCGATAACTACTGATGTCAAAGCCCATTTTTGTGTGAAGGTCTTATCTCTCTCCAATTGCATTCTTGTTTAGACCATTTCATCTTGCTTCTTTCGGTTAATCAGTAAGGTCATTTCATCTTGTCCTTTGTAGTTCATGGGACATGGATTTCTGGTAAGAAAATCGAATCAGGAGCTCGAGTGGAGTTGAAAGAAGGTGATAGGCTGCAACTTGGAGGTTCAAGCAGGGTTTACAGGCTTCACTGGGTTCCAATCAGCCGCGCATATGATATGGAGAATCCATTTGTACCAGAAAACACACAGGAGGAACAACATCAGGTGAGCTGAAGCAGTAGTAATATCTTCAAAATATATAGGTTCAGAATTATGGTTCAGTCTCCATTTTTTTTTTCTTTTTTGTTTGCTCTATTTTTTATTCTTTGCCTTGTTGTGCAATGTGCATTTATTGATTCTCTAGGATGGGAGTGGCTTTTCTTCCCAGAATGACCAAATCCAGAAAGAGGATGATGATATGGTGCAGGGTCTAGACTCATCATTTTCTGGTATGAGTTCGTTACCGCGTGTGAGAAGTTTGACTCCGCCAGCTCCTCCACTGCTTGAGCAAATGAGTTCTCCATTTCCTGATAATTACGAGGCAGCAAACAGAAATAATCTACCTGGGAATATCCATGAAGAAGGTGAAATCAGTTTGCTGCAGCCTGCTTCTTACCAACCTGACAAGGAAAATAGTGCACCAGAAGCGCTTCTTGTCTCAGAACAGTCCAAAACAGAAAATGTAGTAGATGGTACTCCGGAAAGATCACCGCAAAGATGTTCAAGCATTTGGTCTAGAAGGGGAAAACTTTTCAGTGTTCAGATTCAAACTGGTAGAGATAGGGCAATGAATGAAAATGTTGACATGGAAACTGAAGTCGAATCGCTTAATCGTGAAAGAGCAGGAATTAATTCAGTTTCTAAAGATCTTTTTGCTAGTGGAAACAAGGATAAAGAGGAAGAGGTCTTTACTCCTGACAAAGAGAACAGTACTCCTAGTTCTCTCTTCCTTGGATCCATGAAGAAATCGTGTCTTTCTGAGATGATAAATGGATCAGATAGTAAGTCTGTGCTTTCTAATATGGATGAGAACGAAGAGAATTTCACTCCGGACAAGGAGAATAGGACACCAAACACTCGTTTGCTGAGGTCGATGAAGAAGATGGGAAGCCAGCATCAAGTTAAGCATCCAAAACCCTTTAAATCCTCATCTCTGAAAAATGTGGTTGAGCCAATGGCCAGTCGAGCTGAAGGTCTTGTATCCCACAAAAAAGAGAAGCTAGGATCAACTACTAAATCAACATGGTCTGATATGGATGACAATGATGAAGAAATGTTCACTCCAGATAAAGAAAATATGACACCTGGTACTCATTTTATGAGAGCAATGAAGAAAATAGCAATGTTGGAAGATGTTCAGCATCTAGAAGCGTTTAAATTTCCTCTTAACAGTGTAGTTGATTCCATATTCCATCACAATGGAACTCCAAACCTTGCTTCCAGAAATCTAGAGAGATCGGAGGTAAACACAGTGAAGAACAGAATGGATAGGGTGCCTTTTCAGTCACTTCTTGTGAACAGCCCCGCAAAGACCAGCTCAATATCTCCACATGAGGACCTTAAGTTGAGTGACAGTCCTATCAAGTATCCAGAGACTAAGGAGGCATGCCCCTTCTCTGTAAGTTCAATATCAAACTTTTTATGCTGAAAACGCTTTTTTCTTCTAAGAGTAGAATAGACAGAGGCATGTTTCCAAGCTGCAGTACTTGTCATCATTAGCTTCTGAGAGGTCGTAGATTTGGAGGTGTCTTTTTGAAATGAGTTTTGGCTAGGATGCATTTCTTCTGGCTGCATTTGTTTTAGTTTCTCTTCCACTATATTCTTTTGAGACAAGTTGAGTCACACAGCAAATTTGTTGGTTCAAAGGATTAGCTAATAATGTTATTCAAGCGTTCTTCTTTGTTCAAACCTTAAAAGTTAACAGTTAGTTTGACTCTCTGGTGTAAATGTAGAAACTTGAAGATCTCTAATTTGTGTCCGAAAATTTATCTGCAGAATAACAGTGTCGTGGAACAGAATAGGACGTGGACCATGGTAGTAGACACTGGTTCTTTGCTGAATAAAGAATCAAGGAAAAGTTTGCAGCTGCTGCAAGGTCTCAAGGGGACACACCTGATAATACCAAGAACCGGTAATGAATTACCCCTGAAAGTTTCATCATTTTCAAATATGTCCATCATATTGGTCTAGACTGCCTGCTTTGGCTGATCATTACCTGCTCCTTGTCAACAGTTGTAAGAGAATTGGACTGCATGAAGAGACGTGCTAGCCTGTTTAGAAAGACAACAGAGGTATCTGCAGCATTAGAATGGATAGAAGACTGCATGGTAAATGCAAAGTCATGGATTCACGTACAGAGTTGCGCGGAAGAAACAAGATCAGTGGCGCCAACTCCTCCTGCTACTGCTCCATTGTCTTTGTTCAATGAGGAGAATGGCATGTTCCCTATTGGTGGCTCTCTTCCATTTTCTCCACATAGTGGTCTAATGGAATCTGCCTCACCCACAGCAGAAGATCATATCCTTGAATATGCCCTCTTCTTCAAAAGAACCAACAAGAACGGACAACTCGTCCTCCTTAGCAATGATCTTACCATGAAAATCAAGGCCATGGCAGAAGTAAGACCATAACCACCCATCTACCTTTTCAATATTCAATTTTCCAAAACAAAAAGCTGTATGTGATGAATTCTTCTACCTAATGTTAATTGACGCGCAGGGTTTGAACTGTGAGACAGCAGAAGAGTTTCGCGAGAGCTTAGTGAACCCATTCTCTGAGCGGTTTCTTTGGAAGGACAGTTCTCCTAGGGGAAGGACTTGGTCATGCGAGGATGACTTTGTTCTTAGGGAAACATACTACCGTGGCCCTCCGAAAAAGACAGGAGAAGCTGCAAAAGGGCTGAAGCTCATATTGCTCCATAATTCTCATTATAGGCACATATGTTCAGCCAGCTGAACCAATTAGTTAGCTGTTTGCTGTTACAGCCCATTGAATCTTTCATGCTATGCTCTCAAGTGCCAATGATTCACTATTTTTGGAACCTTTTATTATTGCAATAAAATGGTTGTTTGCTTCTTCTTTTTTTGAAAATCTGGGTAAATCATAAATTTTTAGTTCATTCTTGTTTGGTTGTTTCTTCTTCCTTTTTTTTTTTTTGTCTTTTTTGTGCAAATCTGTGTAATTCATAAATCTTCGGTCCACGCTTTCTTTCTTTGTTTTATTAACCCCCACCCCAAAAAAATTTTAAAAAAACAGAAAAAGGAAGAAGTGACAAATTATATTACACAGTTTGGTGGTAAATTATTAGCATCTGATTTGCTCTGCTAAAAGGAACATAATTCCCTTGGCTTAAGTAATTGGGGAAGATTCTGATATCAATCAAGATTCTTGTAAAGGCTGTATCATCTTCGGTAAAACTACTTTAGCCAGTTAACGAGTAATCCTTTTTTACTTGCTGCAACTGAACAGACTCATATAGCAACAATGATACTAAAAATTTTAAGAAAAACAATTTTAGTTATTCTGAGAAACCAATGACATGATGATAGAATAGATAGCTACACTGAATCAAATACAAATTGGATACTGGTTGATGTTATTCCAGTTCAGTAGAACTCATATATTTTGCAGCCTTGTGAGGGGGGTATTCACATGATCCAGATAGCAGAAACGAAAATGAGCTATCCGACTCGTCAAATGGTGGTCGAGGGAACTCTTGAAACCCATTAAGATTGCTAGTATCAAAGTTCAAAGGCGAGAAATAACTGCCTGGATCATCTGCAGCGCTTTTTATATCCCTAGGATCTTGAAACTCATTGCCATGTGAAGCATTTACCTTAAAATCTTCACGTCGCGCTTTCATGGTGACTTCACTTGTTTGGCCTTGGTCAGATGTCCCCGCAGATCCTTTAGTTTCATCCAGCGGAACTGCAGGAGTATGACCTTGAAAAAGGGCAATGTGTCCGAAAAGCTTATCTTTCCTAGAAAATGTTGTTCCGCAGGAACAAAGCCATTTATCCTTACCACAATGCTTTTCATGTGTTTTAAGATCAGCAATAACCGAAAATTTCTTTATATTACATCTACTGCAAGTATAGGCTTTCTCACAGTGGGTTCTCTTGTAATGGTTTTTCACACATAAGATGGTCTTCAGAGGCTGGAACTTCTTATGCTCCTTATTGCGCTTGCATCCAACATTAGGACAGGAATACCTTTTGATGAGTGTTGGCTCGGAGCTTGGTTCTTTATGAGGCTTTGCAAGAGCTGCTGGAGTCTTGTACTCATCACCATGACCTCTCATGTGCATCCGCAAATTGGCATCCCTCTTAAATCCCTTGCCACAAATTGTGCAAAAGTGAGTGTGTGGTGCAAGGATTTCCTCCTTCTCCAACTGCAGAATCTCATAGGAACCGGGAGGAAGGTTCTCTTCTTCCTCAGCTTCATCTTCATCTTTTGATTCATGTCCATCAACAGCGTGGTTTTGTTCAATCCCACAATCTCTCAACTGGTCAACGTGGTTTGACTGATCTTCCACTTTAGTGACACCGCCATCATTACATGGCAGTCCCCCGCCATTAGTACATGTAGCAGAAGGAACTGTGACGCAACCAAACTGCACAAGTTGGCTAGCAACAGGGCTCACGGAGGAAAGTGTGTGCTTCATAGTTGGAAGAAGACTTCCTGCAGTTGATACCAATTGGACTATAATAGAAGTAAGGTCCGCTGTGATTAACTGTTGCTGCTGAACTATAAGGTCATTTCCCTGAAGCCCAGTCTGACCTCTCCGCCCAACAATCAAATGCACTAGTTCCTGGAGCTGATGAATCTTTTGCTCGAGAAACGAAAGGTTGTTTAGCAAAGTACTTGGATCCCAGTCTTTTGTGCTGGTCGAATCATTATTTTCATTCATCTGATTCCCATGTTGATCCATCTGATATGTCTGTTTTGGTTGAGTAAATCCAGAAAACTGTTGCTCAATCCTGGTCTGTTGATCCAAATAAGAGGAACCTTCCCACTTCTGCGCATGCAGATTGAAATTGGTAAATGAATGGTTATCTGAGGGCATAATTTTCAGTAATTCATTGCCAGATGAAGACGGCTTTGTCCAAGGATCTTCACTAAGACTGTCATCAGGATCCATATCCGAATCTGCTTCCTAAAGTAAAAAAAAGACTGCACAAAGAAAAGTTGGAAAGCAAAGAAGATTAAGAGCACTTTATCAATCAATCAAATCCATATGACACAACCATGAAAACAGTATTATTCAGTAACATATGAATTAATTGAATATACTTTACATTAAAATCATCGGGAGAGTACTCAAGATCGCAACTTTAAAAGCATAAAAAAAACAAAGAAAAGAACATCAAAGACACGGTGTTTATGATATGATACGCCGAGAATGATCATACACGAGTAGCATAGTACCAGGTACAGGTGGGTAACATTAACTTCTAACAAGCTAATGTTAAAAGGTAACTATACTGCGCCATCCCTGTTCGACACAGCTACATCAAGGCAATCACACAGTCTAACTAATAGGATAGATGGTACAACTGCGACCAAATTCATTCTTTCTAATAAAGTTCAAACCAAAAATCTGGTGTTTCAATTTACATATTTCTACTCATAGTATGTTCTTTATCATCTCGACTTCTAATTCAATTGTCATATATCCAGCTACTAAAAAAAATTCTTCTTTCTTTTTTCTTTATAAAAGTGAATATCCCACAGTAAACTTCCACAAAAACAATAAAAACCAAAAAAAAAAAACAAATTCCAGTAATTTTCAAGTCTAATGATTGAGTTAGAACTTAGGTTCAATCCAAAGTCAACGAACCCCCCCCCCCCCCNACAGGTGGATTCATGATTATATAGGCTACACAAAGAAATGCCTAAATCATCTCTAAGACCAAACAATTACTATTTCGCTTTGCACACACACACACACACACACACAAACACACACACCAAACAAAACCTACCTCCCATTCTTTTCCCATATACGGGCCAATCTAACCCCCAAAAAAAGTTTTGACTTCTATGCCCAACCACACCCTNTTCTGTATTTATGTCCACAGGAAATCACATAGTCAACTCATCAAAGACTAGACTTTTCAGCAAGAAATCATTATAGGATCATAGAAAAAGTGAATTAAAACCACATGAAAATCATGAAACTCACCAGATTGAAGGCTAATGCTTAATCTTTCTGTTCAGAGATGTAGGAAAGCGAAAGAGAAAAGTTGTTGAACCCCAGTTCATATATATAATAGGAGTAAGCAAGCGTATTTGATTCCTCCTACCGATTTGTACCCAAACAGAGTCTAAGGCCTACTTACTGATGGGACCCACTGCTCTCCCAGAATATTCTGACTTCACTTCTGGTAAAAATTTAGTCGCAACTAGAGTTTAAAAAAAAAAAAAAACAAAATACATAGTTTAGTCGTTGACCTTATATCCAAATCTCTGTTACACCCCTCTGTATCACGGGCAACCTTTTACACGCTCAATTTCTTAGAAGTGTGTCAATAACACACCATTTTGCTTAGCTGGCATGTGCGTATTTAACACAAAAAATAAAAGTGACAAAGATAAACCTTTTGTCCAAAATCTTATTTAAGTGTTATCTGTCAAACTTAAACCAAAATGGAGATTATTATAAAAAAATAAAGACAAAAATATAAACAAGAGAAAGAAAAGGAAAAGGCCATCTGGTCTAATTTGCCGACAGCTTCACCATAAAGAAGATAAAGCCCAATCTACAAATTTACACCATAATATTCAAACAAATAAGGTAATTTAGGGCATTTCCAATGGTGCACTATTTTTTGCATCAAATCTAAATTTGGTGTAAAATTTGATGTTGGTGTAACACTATTCATCAACATCAAATTTGATTTATTATTATTTTATCCTTTTTATTTTTATTTTGAACTTTTAATTTATCACATATTGTGTATACAATTAATTTTTATATTAAGATCTTTATAATTTTAAATTAAATTATCTTTAAAATAAATTAATATTTATTTNAACAAGCCGACTATTTTCTGATTGTAATAAATGATTATATATGTGGTGAATGTGAATTATATGTGATGAATATGGAAAAAAGAAAAAAGATAGAATTTGTTTTGAAGGAAATAAAAAATAAAATTTAAATAGAAGATAATAACATAATATAGAAGAGAGAGAAGAATATAAAAAGAAATATTCTTTTTTGGTGTAAAAAATGTGTAATGGTTGGAGTAAATTTGGTGTTACACCATTTTGGTGTGAAATTTGGTGTTAGGGTTGGAGATGGTCTTAGTCATCTTCTCTATCTTTTCCTTTTCCATTCAGAAATTTCGACGATTTGTGGTGGTGTCAAATTTTTGAATCATCATTTGGGAGGAGAAAGTTTTGAACCTCCATTGTTGGGGTTTCTTGAGTTTTCGAATCGGCGCTTGGGCGGAGAAATCTCGCAACAATGTTGGAAATTGTTCCGAATTGTTGAGCTTGTTTACTGAATTAAATTTTTATTGTTGTTCTGAAATTGATTTTAATAGTTATTGGGCTTAAACTTTTGAATCAGCTGTTGGGTTTGTCAAAATTCGAACCTGTGTCAAAAAAATTCAAATTATAATTTTAAGTTGTCGGTTCAATGAATGTGAAGGTGATGTGATGAGTGGTGCTAGCTATGGTGGTGGTGGTCACCTGTGATGATGCGCAGGAGAAATGGGGGAGCAGAGAGCTAATTTAGTTTTTCTATAATAAAAAAAAGGTTCTCTTGTAGCCATAATTTGGGACCTAATGAATTTGTGGAATTGAAACCTGATGCATTTGTAGAAAAATATGAAATTATTATACAAAGACTGCTCTCGACATCGGTGGCCGGAGTGGATTCTCCGACGAGTTGGGTGGGGAGTCCTTCTCTTTTTGATGAATTCTTTTTATTTTTCTACTTTTAAGTTAGTGACACGTGTCACACCCTTATTCATGCGTGACACACACATGTTTAAAAAAAGTGGTCAAACACAGAAGTGGTACTTCTAAAAGGTTGGGTGTGCAAAAAGATTGCCTGTGGTAGAGAGGTATGTAACAGGGATTTGAATGCAAGGTCAATGGATAAACTATGTATTTTGCCAAAATAGAAACATAAATCTTTTATTACTCAGTAATGATTAAATATTATAGGTAGTAGAGTTTAAATTTTCTTATAATATCACGTCACCAAAAAGTATCTACAAACAAGTTTTCTTATATAAATTTTATTATGTTTAAAACTAAAAACTAATACTTGCTGATAAAGGCAACATGATGATGTGATTTCTTACACTAATGATGCATATAACTTAGTGGGCGTTTGGACACGAGAATTGTAAAATTCCCAAAAAAAATAAAAAAAAATCAAGTGAAAATGGTATTTGAAAATTAGAGTTATGTTTGGACATGAATATAATTTGGGTTATTTTTTAAGTTCTGTGAGTGATCTGAGTGAAAATTTTAAAAAACAGCTTTTTGGAGTTTTTCATATTTTCAAGAAATTCCAAAATGCATCTTCAAGTGAAAATTGGAAATTTTATGAACAAACGCTGATTTCGAAAAAAGTGAAAATATTTCGAAAAAAAGGAAAGAATTTCTTATGTCCAAACGGGCTCTTTGACTTTAGTTAATATATATATATATATATATATATATATATATATATATATATATATATATATATATATATATATATCATAATTGTTAAAATTCGATATAAACACGAAATAAGTATTCACCCTATGTTAATGGTCTATTCTTGTTTTTGCTCAAATTAATTTATTCACTTTGGTGTGCCCAGCTTGTTGGTAAAAGTTTTGGGTTTATAAAAATATGGTAAAAGAACATTTTACCATGTTTATTACACGCGAAATCTGAATTTTTGTATTAACTATAATATGAAATTCAACTATTATTTCAAATTTGGTTTTTATTTAAATTGTGGCACAATATGACAAAGATTACAAAATAGTTCTCTAACTTTTTTTCAATTACATGGACGTACTTTTCTTTGTGATATTTGGAGATGACTGTCATTTTCATTGATATGTATATCTTCAACAATGTAGACTCTATGTACTAGAATTCAAATGTTAATTTTTTTTTCCCTCAATTCAAATGTTAATTATATACATATTTATTGCTCTTTCGGTTCGAACTTTCCAATTCAGTGTACAGATAACCAAAACTTACTCACTCTTTTATTTTTGGTCGAAATTAGAGCTTTTATTCCAACCTTTTTAGTAAAGTTACACCATCTGCTCTCTATGGACTTTGGAGCAGATCTCAAAATAAAAAAACAAATTATAAACAAACATATACAACTCTTCTGTTGCTATTCTATAACAAACATATAACTATCCTATAGTTCCTTTTGTCCTGTAACATGAATTTGGACAGCAATATCTTTTGCTCTGTCTTGTACTGTCTTCTTGCATTGTTGAAACTTACTCACTCTTAGAGATGATTTGGTTGGAGAATAAGTAATCATAAAATTACAATAACAGGATTATAATACGACAATCAAATAGTGATAAAATTATTTCGTGAATATATTTTTATTTGAGAGATGTTTGGTCATTGGACTAAAAAGTGGGATAACACAGTATAATATAAAATATGTATTTAGTGTATAATAATAAGTTGAGATACATTTTTATTTTCAATTTTAACCTTGAATTTATTTAAGGACTTAGTGAAAGAGCCTTGGAAAGGGCATCTTTGTCCTTCTAATATACTTAATCCCGGAACTATTATCTCACCTTCAATGTCGGGTAGATTTTAACACAATTATAATATAAATTAATCTCAAAAGCGCTAATTCTAGATTCAAAAATTCAATCAAAAGTAGGATAAAATAATATCGCACCTAATTCCGAGGTTATTATCACTTATCTCACCAACCAAACGATCCCTTATTGTCTGTTTGGAAAGCCATGTGTAATTATCTGATTGTGTTACACAACCCATTAATTACGCTACATAGTACTTACAATAACATATTTATTTCTTATAACATAATTACAATATAATTTCAGGTGTCATAGTTGATTATACAAGTGTAATTACATAGTTAGATATTTTTTTGTTTAATAAAAGTTAATTAAAAAAATTAATACATTTTTTTCAAAAAATATGTAAACGCATTTCAATGTCTAATAATTATGTATGTACGTAAAAAATACTAGATATTATTTTCTATTAGATAATGTAATTTATACTTAAACAATTGAAAGAGTTGTTTGGAGCATAATTTCAGCTAATAACTACGTTTAATGTCTTTTTGCTACTATGAGATAAAGATTCCACACGCAACTTATTTTATAAATTTTACAAGATCAAACCAAATAAAATACAAAAGTATTTACCAATCTATCTAGATTTTCTTTCCAATTTATGTACCAAACTTGTGCTAGATCAGACTAAGATATTCAATTTACGGCAATGAAAGTTATAAAATGAGTAAAAAGTAAAATAAAGTAGAATATTATAAACTTATTTGAAATTTTATTTAACTTTGCACAAACAACTAAAATTCTAATATAGGAAGAATGAAAATAAACATTTTGTTTCTAATTAATACAGTAGTTGTTTATAAGAAATGCATAGTCAAAAAATAGTATTTAGTTTTATTTTTTATGATTTTAAGGGCGCGTTTGTATGAAGAAAAATATTTTCCATGGAAAACATTTTCCTAGAAAATATTTTCCTGGAAAATGAATGATCACTCATTTTCCCTTGTTTGGTTGGTGGGTGAAAAATTTTTTCTCGAAAATATTTTCTAGTGTTTGTTTTGAGTGTAGAAATTCTTTTTAGGAAAATAATTTTTTATTTTACTTTTCTTTCTCTCCTCCCCCCGCCCAAATCCCGTGTTTCCTTTGCTCCC